GTTCTGGCCACCTTGGTACCAGAAAGACATTGACAAGCTAGAGGGAATCCAGGGATGATCAATACTGATGATCAGAGAGGCCTGGCAGGTGCGAATGAAAGATCTAAATGGGCCAAACTCATGGTTGGCGTAACTCCAGTGAAATCAGGGATAGATTTGGCTTGATGTGCATAGCTTACCTAAAGAATGAATAAAAGTAGGGAGACGGGGACATAATGTGTAACAAGTATTTAGGGTGATGTGTGAGAGCAAACTAGGAATAATGGGACTGAGCAAAAAATGTAGCATGAATAGCACATAATTCCTGGGCAGGAGATGTATCAGGGTGCGGAGTGACCTCCTGAGGAAAAGGTAGAAGCTCCATTGCTTGGGTCTCTTCAAACTAGACAAGACAGAATAATAGAAACTCTAGGGGACAACACTGCACACTCTGGAGAATTGGTTTGTACAGCACCTAACACAATGGGCCCCATGTCTGGCTGGCCCTTAGGCATTACCGTAATAAACATGATTGACACTAATAATAATTGGATGAATTTTTCTATCCCTCACTCCTCTGACTCTCTGACATGGTGCCTGGCATGACACCTGCATTGCTTATAACACCCTCAGCCCCAGCCATTCAAGTACATAGGCAAGTGTGTCACTTGATAACTATGGTGACCTTAAATGTAGAGTCCTGCAAATCCGCGGATATCTGCAGATATCCACATCCGCAGAAGCAAACATCCATGGACCATTTTTGTGGATTGCAGATCGGACGCGGATACAAATTTTGTATCTGAGCAGGGCTCTACTTAAAAGAACTGGGTAGGAAGGAGAACAGTGAGGTGATAAAATTTACCAATGACCAAGTTATTTAGCTTAGGCCCTTGTCTACACTACACATTTAACTGGGCTTGTAAGCAACCAGGGGCGTTGCTGGCTCTACACATCGGTTCTGTCCATACACAAAGAGGTTAATACTCAGAGAATGGCCAAGTTTCATCCCTCCCATCCCCCTGCCAGAGGCTTCTGCTGTCCCCTGGATGCCTTCCTGTGGTCACTGTGTAAGGTTGTTATGGAACTTCCTAACCAGGGGGAGATGGTTTCACCTCACAATCTGCAGTGACCTCAGAGAGGGAGATTCCAAAGACACGGAGAGCAGTCAGGTACCATCTCCCACTGTAAGTCTATGGGATATGTGGGACTATCCCCTATTTATGTTATTGAACCTCTCCCCCAAAGACGATAGCTGACTAGTGTGAATGATACCCTACATGAAAGCCTTGTCTGTGGTCTGCGCAGTCAACGCCCATTGTCTGTGCTTGGGCTCCAATAGCAGAAGGCTGCAAGAATCCATGTCTGTGGCAATTTCTGCCAGGAAATCCCAGGTGCCAGTCGCATCTGCAAAATTGCACAAGAAAACAAGGTAGTTTCAAGAAAATTCAGGTACTTGGGAGTGTTCCCATTGTGACAAGCCAGGTCCCTCCAGCACAGTGCGGTGGTGATAACACAGAGTGACATCTGTGTGGTAAAAAGAAACCTGCAGACCATGACTATAGGCACAAGAATGTGACCGTGGGGAAATAAAAAAAGCACATGAGACATGGAAAAAAAGGGTTATATTCCATGCATCGAATACCTCTGAACTACTGCTGATGTCTTACTCCTTGTCTGGCTACAGTACTGAGTCTTCTTCATATCTTCTATAGCCAGAAGAAATCTGGACATGGACTATGCAACATGTATCCATGGTGTGATGGGGCAAGGCCAGATGGCTACAGTAAAGTAGTGAGGAACAGGTATGTTAACCCCAGGCTAAACAAATCCCTGGTACCATGTTAACCAAATGGCAGTTGCTCCAGGTTAATCAAGACACCTGGGGCCAATTAAGATCCTTCTAGAAGGCAGTGAAGATAGCTAGATTGATTGGGACACCTGAAGCCAATCAAGGACTGGCTGGAACTAGTTAAAAGCCTCTCAGTTAGTCAGTGTGGTGTAGGTTTCAAGAGCTATAGGAGGGAGGTGTGCTGTTGGAGGAACGAAGTAGTATGAATCCATATCAGGTGCAAGGAAGGAGGCCCTGAGGTAATTGTGAAAAAGATACTGAGTGGGGGCTGCTGTGGGAAAGTAGCCCAGGGAATTGTACACGTCCTATTTCCAAAAAGTCAGCTTCCATAGCTGCTAATTTTAGGGTCCCTGGGCTGGAGCCTGGACTAGAGGGCGGGCCTGGGCTCCCCCTGCCTCTCCCTGATTAATCACTGATACTGGGAGACAACAGAGACTGTGCGAGGGAGGGTTGTTTCTCCTTACCTCCCTTGCTGGCTTATGATGAAAATGGCTCAGTAGACTGTGACCCTTGCCCCTAGAGAGAGAAGGGCTATGTGGAGGGTCACAGTGAGCCTCTGAGGCTAGCAAAATCCATCAGGAAACGCAGGACCCACGGAGATAAGGACAGAACTTTGTCACAATGGCCACGGCTTGAGAATCAATAGCACCACATCCATGTGGGTTTTTCTGGTCCTTTCAAAGGAAACTGGTTCTTGGTGGTCACAAATGCTACATCAGAGACCTGTGTGACGACCTCAGCGCTTACTGGCTATACAGTACTATCACACAGAAGTAACGTGAAATGTTAAGCCTTCGTGGTTGGCCCGAACTGGGAGTAAGTGATCATAGCTCTCCATTTGTATCTCATGAGATTGAAGCTTTGATGAAGATGAATGGTGTGAGCCGTAACAGCTCCTCGCTATGCCAGTCAGTTAGCAGTGGCGTAGCAGAGCGATTACTCCAAGCAATAAATCAAGCCTTGCCAGGAAGATCATCTGTGTGTCAGTGGCTGGCTCGTCTAATTTTATCTTACAGAAGCACTGTGCGCACTGCTGCAATGGTCTCTAACTTGCCCAGTGGTTCGGAGACACCTTCATAGCTGCAACAGCTACAAGCTCAGGTAGATTGATAGGAGACATGAGTTTTTAAACCAGAGCGAGCAGTTTTACCTCAGTACTGTGCTGCTGCTGGCCTCACCACGACAGAGCCCGTCCAACATGCGCTACACACAGAGACCGTGTAGCATGGCCAAGATACCCTTTTAACAGACAGACGAGACTCGTGCTGGGAGTCGGGTTGCTGATTTTGGTTGGATGTATTCCTGGAGGTTTCATCACAGGACATAATCTTTAATTCCTGGAGACTCAGGACAATCCTGGAGGGTTGGCAACCGTAGCTGGGAGTGATTCGCTGGCAGGCCCTGTGGTGGTGGAGACCGTAATGGAATACTAAACTGCAGGATACCGTTCAGCCAATAGGTAGTGATGGGTGGACCTTATTTACGCTCACAACTGTGATTCCTGGCAGAGCTTTAAAGAATCTCGTAGAAGACACGTCTCTGGTGTATCTACCAGAGAAGGAAGCTCTATGGCCCATCCGTATCTGGTACAGAAACTTGACCTACTAGTAGCAGTCTGCAACCTCCCATGTACCTGAAATACATGACAAAGCATAAGGAGTAAAGTAGCACCAGAGAAGAACAGAAACAGAAAGACAACAGCATCAAAGGTTGCTTACAGAAGGAACAAAGCAACACCGGTTGCAGGATCTCATCAACCTGCCACTCTTCAATGCCCTAGCGAACTTCAGCTTGGACAAACCTTCTGAGACCAGGGTCCTAGTGGGGAGCCAGCTGTGGTCACTCAGTTAGGGTGAACTGCAAAGAATGGGGCAGCCAATCCCCATAAAGCTGGTGGATATTCCAATACTTAGATTCACCAACCAGCGTAAAGAAGCTGTTTTATTACCTTACTGGTTATTCAGAAGTTCAAACAATACAGTTCTCTTAAAGTGATCCAGCCTCAGGCCTCCATCTAGGTACCCACGTCAAATATGATGAAGATTTCAGTAAATCTTATTTCATCATATAAAAGAAAAGGTTCTGCCAATCCCAAAGGATTACCACATTACCTCTCAGGTTAATGAATGTTTCCGATTGTACCCAAATACACACTACAGCCAATTCCTATTAACTAAACTAATATTTATTAAAAAACAAAAGAGCGAGAGTATGGTTAGAAGATCAATGTACTGTGACAAAGTTCCTCCTCTATCTTGGTGGGTCCTGCGCTTATTGGCAGATTTT